CTAAAATTTCTGAAAAAATAAAGCATGCATATCGTCAGGACCCGGGGCCTTATGTGGATGCATATGAAACAACACTTGTTTTATTTTTTCCCCCGTCGACTCACGATCAAGTACATCATTCATTTTCAGAGTAACCAAATTTTTGAGTCCTTCCATGGCTCCCTGAAACCCCGTAAGTGAACTAGTGGAAAAAAATATTAGAGAAATAAGCTGCAATTAATTTCTCCAAGTCGACCCTGTTCTTCCAATCCCCATGCTCATCAAAGAGGCCATTAATTCTGTTCTTTGCTTTACGTTGGCTAGCTTTATGGTGAAAGTACTTCGTATTTTTATCTCCATCCCACAACTCATTTGCACGAGCACGAGCAAACCAATACAACTCCTCCATCAAATACAAAGAATCAAGCTCTGCGGACAAATTGTTACATAACTACAACTTCTCATCACCATCCACGGCGCTTTATTTCAATTGCTTCAGAGATTTTTCGGCCTTTTTAGTCTTCTTCTTGACAGAGCCGAAGGTTATAGCAGCCCAACTAGCCAATCTCTCCCCACAAACAGTAATCTTTTAACGCATCCCAAGACCCCCAGCATCATCCCACGCACCCTTAACCACCTCACCGCACCCATCATTCTAGAGCCAAAAGTGCTCAAATTTATAAGCCATGTTGAACTGTTCATTCGAATTTTGTGTCTTAGTTGTTAACACAATTGGTGCATGGTCGGGTTTCAATATAGGTGAATGTCAAACCTCAATCTCAGGGAATAAATCACACTATCCACTATCCGCAAGAAAACGATCATGTAAAGCACATCTATCAATTGCATCTCTAAAAGCATCCATCCACCTCTCACGTACTCCGTGGAACACCACCCTCCTTTTCAGACATACTCACAATTTCATTGAAATCTCCAAACATAACACAAGGAAGTTGGTTTCCAGCTTTAATCTGAGACATAAGAGTCCAAGTTTGATGCTTATTAGCTTGTTCCGGCCAACCATATATCACGATAGCTCTCCACAAAGGAACATTATTGTCATCGAGAACATGAGCACAAAAATGATGGATTGAATAAGAGACAATTGAAAGGTTAATATCCTTCCACCACAGGCCTAAACCACCAGATCTACCAACACTACTTAGACAAAAACCATTCGTATAACCACAACGATTTTTTATTTTATTGAGAATTTTTTCGTCAAACATAGTCTCCATTACAAAGACAATATTCGGCCTTTCCCTCCAACACAAATCTTGGAGGTTCCTAACTGCACGCGGGGCCAAGCCCGTGGTAGTTCCAGCTTAATATTTTCATTGTTTTTCGAGGGCTTGTTCAATACCAAGTCCCTCTACGTGAGAAGAGATAGAACAATCAACATCAGATACAATATTTTTCAATTTTTTCTTTCCCATCCCACTCCCCATACACCCTTCTGACATATTATTCAATTCCCCACCCATTCTTTTCACACCAGAAATATTAGAACTTTTGACACACATAAGCACATCATCATCACAATAAGATACACTCCTATTAACTCTTTTCCAAGTACCTAATGCCTTTGCAGGAGATTGTTTCGAACACACAGTCATATTCTCCACATGAACTATATATTGAGTCAGTCTCGGTTGTGGTATGGTCAATTAGCGAGGTCGAAGCCATGAGCATAGGAGAAGGGCGAAGCACCTGCTTCTTACTATGGGGGTCAGTCACTACCATCAATTGTGCTTCTCTAGACTTAGGAGATGAGACATTCTCCCCGCGAGGAGAAGAGAAAAGAAGCTTGCGGGCTGCACTTGGGGGGCCAAGACGAATAGCATGAAGGTCATTGTAGAGAGCTCTGCGGGACACCTTTCCTTGGGATAAAATTTCCATCCATTTCTTCTCCCTCTCACGATCAGCAGCAGCCATATGGGGTCTTTGCAAGGGGGGTTGCCACAAGAAAAGGACCATATTGGAACACTACCCTAGCTTCATCATCATCAAATTCAGTATGAAGGCACTCCTTATCAGTATGCCCAACTGTAGGGAATATTTCAAGCGTTACCCCAAACTTGAACCCCACTGTAATCATACACTTAAGCATGGCGGCATCCAAAGGGAAGGAAGATAGAGTAAAAGAGTCGCCAACAAGTTTTAGGAGCTTGTAAACCGTTCACAGGGTGAAGGTTACACCCCTTAACGATCCAGGAGATCGTCAACTCCATTAGGTCTAGAACCATGACTGGTAGTTCGGGTATGAAGGTACAAATCCAACCTAAAAGAGATTGAACCTGCCCTAATAATAAGCCTCTACTTTATTCTGATCGTATTCATGTGCGCTTTCTGACTAACATACAATCAATATGTTTAACCCTAAACTTGTTTATCTATGTTGGTTGAATTTAATACACAAATAAATTATTATTGGCGATCACTTGAATTCTAATCAAATTAACCCTAAACAAGATTATTAATTATCTTATTAAACGTGATTACAAGTATCAATTCCCTTTAAACATGCATAAAAGGCGTGATCAAGCAATAACAATAAATATCAAGCAACATAATAATAATCATCATAATAATAGTCAAAATTATAATCATAATTAAAATAATCATGTTAAAGCATAATAGCAAGATCCTAGGCATGATACTAACAAGATTAATAACAAACCCTAGCATGTCACTAAACATTAAAAATCAAAGCTTTAACCCTAACATGATACTAACATGAATATTAAGAAAGAGAATAGGAAGCATTACAAGAATCACAATTGTCATATTTGATATTATAACCTTTTCCCTAAACATAATACTAGGAATCAATAAAACATCCTAATATGATACTAGGAATAAAAAATAACAACCTAGACATGATTTCTATATCTTAATATCAATAAATCAATTAAAGCACTTACTTGGATGCCTCGTACCTCTTTCTAATAACAAAATACACGCGTTAGTAACTTCAAGGAAAATAATAATTAAACAATTAAATTAAATAATTGAAATAGAGATTTGGAACCAAACCCTCAGAAATTAAAACCTTTCACGTCTAGGGAGAAGGCAACTTCGAACTTAGCTAGGTGTTTCTAGATCTTGTGAATGCGGAATTTTGTATGCAAAAGGCTAGTTTAGAAAAGAGAGAGAGAGAGAGTAATCAAGAGATTCTTGATAAGAATTGGTGATTGAAAGAATTAGAGAGTTGATGATTGAAAACGGAGGTTTTAGGAGGCTATTTATAGAGAAAATCAGCCGGATATGATAAAAAAACGAATCAGAGTTTCGAAAAGAATAAAACACGACCCTGTCGCCAGACGCTGGAGTGCAGCGCCGAACGCTAGGTCTGTCGCCAGACGCAGGTCCTGTCGCCAGACGCTGGTCCTGTCGTATGGCGTTGGAAATAATTTTCCACGCGTTTTCTTATTTTGATAAAATTTAACCGTACGAGAGGGCAAAATCGTATTTTCCTTAAAAACACTTCTTTTATTCTGATTAAACTCTTAAAAGTCAACTAAAGTCAATTTATCAATGTTAACTAAATTAGGATTCAAAAGAACCTTCTAGAAGATTCTAGAAGACTATAATCAATCCTAATCGCATTAGGAATGATAAATCAATATTAGGCCCTCCTCTAGATCATTGGGCCGCATATAAATATCAAACCGGACTCAGTTTAGTAATTTGGCCATAACTTCCTCATTATTCATTGGAATTGGGCTTATAATATATCATTAGAAATCTCTTTTCGAACCCGACCCAACTACACTATTATTGGACCCTTTCCATGGACCAAACTAAACTGGATTGACTGTTTTCTTAAAATAGGTTTTCAAAAACAGAGAGAAAGAAAAGAAATAAAAACTAACCACAACACTAGACTTTCCACACTTTCACTTCATTTGATTATGATTCGACGTGAAAGGTACTCATCACCGGGTTTGGTTTTGGAGAGACATAAATGGGTGTCTACACCAATTCTACCACAAAAGTAACAGAATTCGCCCACCCGTTCATACTTGAAACCAATCCACTTAGTATCGCCACCACCCATTGCAATTTTCTTTCCTCTCCGTAGCGGCTTTTCAATATCAATTAACACCTTAACACTCACAAACTCATCCCATCTAAGCGAATCAGAATCGTCATATTCAACAAAGCCACCAAGACACTCACCAATCTCCTTTGCGAACTTCATATTGCATCTCCTAAACGACCCATCTATCATCCTAACCCAGAAAGGGGAGAACTGAAAGAGACTTCAGAAGGTTATTCGTCCCCTTTCAGTTCTTGGAGGAAGAGGATCTGATTATCAAAAGCCCAAGGTCTTCCCTCCATTACCCTTTCTTTGTTAGATTCATCAAAGAATTGAAAGACGAATAAGTTCATCTCGATCATACGGATGGCTACATTGTCCAAAAGGCGTCATATATTCTTCAAAACCCTCTTTATGGCTTCAACATCGAAGGGTTTTTTTGTCAGCAATTTGCCTACCAAAGAGAGAGCAATTCGTGTCTTAGAGGCACCATCATCATCCTCATCATAGTTACTACCATAAACCCTATTTTCGTCCTCGGTTAATTTTAGTTTTCCCCAATCCTTCACTAAATCGTCATCCATGATAACAATTACGCAAAGGAATACACGGAACAATGGGACAGAGAGCAATTTTAATGGAAACAAGGAGTTCGATTAAGAGTCAAAAGCTTGACGAAACGCCAAACACGAGCAAACCCTAGCAGAGACACTCACCGTACTTGAGGGACTTTCATAAATGGTATTAGCAATGTGGGGCTCTACTAAGACATACTTTGTATCAAATAACAAGTTACTCGAGCTTGACTCAGTTTAAACTCGACTTGATCAAAACTTAAATCGAATCGGTTAAACCTCGACTTGACCAAAACTTAACTCGACTTAGCTCGAATCGAGTAGACATACCCCAAACTCAAACTCGACTTGCATCATAAGCTCCCCTATCTATAAGTGTTGGCATTGGCACAATTGTAAAGTACTCTCTTCAAAACCCTCCAAAACTCGAAGTTTAAGAATTAAGATCATCATCGTTCACCTAATTCAACATCACTGCTCAAACAGAAGTGAGTAAGGAAAGAGAGACTTAGAGAGAGAAAACAAACAATGGCGAGGTCAACCAGCAAGGATGCTCAAGCCTTATTCCACACTCTCCGTTCTGCTTACGCCGCCACTCCCACTAATCTCAAGGTCCTTCTCTTTCTCTCTCCTCATTTTGATTTTCCGATTAATAATATTGATTTTTTTTTTTAATTCTGTAGATCATCGATCTCTACGTCGTTTTTGCTATCTCCACTGCTTTGATTCAGGTAATTTTTTTGTAGATCTGTTCCTGATTTTGCCTTGTTTGATTTCAATTCAATTGCATTTTCATCTTGGATTCGATCTACTTCTCGATCAAATTTTGCGAACTGTTATGCAATTAGGGTTATACTGTTGATTGGAAACGCGATTGAATGATTCGACACTTTGCTACGAATTAGGAGTGATAGGCTTTGATTGATTTGATGCATATGTTTTAGTCATTGTACTTCGTCTTTTTCTTTTTGGTTGCAACATTTGCTAATTTACAGTCTACAATGTGCAAATTTTACCAGTTTTTTAAAATTAATTTTAAAAATAAGTGTGCTTAAAGTTTGTATAGCTTGTAAAGTATGGCAAATGTTGCAATTAAAAGGAAACAGAGGAATTATGATTGAGGTGAAGCTTTGCTTAATATTTGTTGAATGGTAATGGATATGGTCACTTGCGTACGGAGTATGATGTTTATAAAATTTGATGGAATAATACTTCATGCATGAGGCATGTATCTGAATTATAGTGATTTTAAGGATTAAATATATAAAACAGCTTAAATTAAGAAAAAGAAATTTTAAGGTACATCACAAGCAACAACAGAAACTACACTATGGGGGACCTCCCCTCAATCCACACCCTCATCTCATCATAATTTCTACTTAAATTAGCTAATTTATGAGCAACAACATTTCCCTTTCTCCCAACATGTGTTAATTGCTAGAGTACTTACAACCTTATGACATAAGCCAAGTGATCAGTTGTCGATGTTGATGGCTATCGATTATGGGATGTTATGTGGCCAAGGATGTATTATAGCAGGATGTGAGACTTGTGCTATTTTGGAGTAGGTTATTGGTGGTAGCAGCTAGCAGCAATAAATCTTTATTGCCATATGATGGATGATGGTAGCACATTGTTTCTTTTAAAAGAGTCCTGTTGGTTTAGCCTTTGCATAGGCAGATAATTCCTTTAACAAACTATTGTAGGTTAGGCCTAGTGACTTATAGATTTACAGCCATAAAAACTTTCAAGGATACTTAGCGTTTGGCTAAATTTTATATCTGAATACTGTTGAATTCATAGATTTTGTTAGGGCTCCTCATTTTGCTGAGAAGTGCATCTTATTTTGACATAATGTTTAAGGAAAAATTATTAAATTGAGATTGGTTAGAAACTGAAGAAAGATTAAGAGAATGGAGAATTGGAGAGTGATGGAGAGAGAAAAAAGGTTGATGTGATGGAGAAGGAAAATCTTTAAGTGAAAAGAAAAACGTGAAAGATGAATTGTGACATCATTTAAGGGAAGTGTGAAAAATAGTCTGGGACATAATATTATTATTTTTCACTGATTTATCTCCATCTCATCGATCTTTTTTCACTTTATATCCTTATAGCTTCTCTTTTTTTCTTTCTTAATCCACTTCTTTATATTGTATTTACCTTCAATAATTAGTCAACTACTCTTACTCTTAAAATTTGCGCCAATATCAAGTAGGAACTTTGATAAAGAACAAAGAAAGTAGTTTTCTAGGTTTCACTTGCAAATGACTTATGTGCCTTTTTCTTTGTGCGGAAATCTATGCATTAATTCTTTTGTTTCTAGCTGGTCGATCAGGTAAAAGACACATTGATCATATGTACAACCTTTTGTGTATGATTTCTATTAGTGTAGTCAAAACAAAAGGTTTAGTTATGTAGATGCGAGGTTGGTGTTTTTGGGTTTAGGATAGTACAATATAGATTTTGATAATGGTGATGAACATTGATTTTAGTCAAGCCTATATGATGTAAGATAATGAAGGGAGATGGTAATCAAGTTCTTGTGTTATTTGATTAATATTTTCCCATGTCCATATGAATGTATTAGGTAATGCATTTCACTAGCAAGCATGTGACCATGTGTGTTTTTATTTTCCCTTCTTCATTGCATCCATTTCCATCTTTAGGTGCTAAGCATTAGGTATTGAGAAATCTATGAAGATATACTCATGTCTGTTTGTCATGACTTTATTGTCCTGATCATCCATATGCAACATTGCTATTTCTCGTTTTATTACCTAGCGCCAGTATGATTTAGTGTATTTATGGAAAACCACTATGGGATGCATGACCTGACTTAGTGTGTTTGTACCATGAGTGTCATCTTTGTACTACAATACTATTTACTTTATATTTGTCTTGGATGTCTAGCTGATAGAAAGAGTTCCCTTTTGAGGTCGCAGTTCCCTCTGCATTTTCTGACTTTCATCTCAGCCAATGTTTCTTTGCTTTCAGTTTATTGTGCAGGGAGAGTAATATGTGTTCATGCAGTCATGCTTTATATAATGTAATTCATTATGATAAGTAACTGGAGGGGATTACTTTGCTAGCAATTTGTGGATTTCAAACCATAGCCTAGGCTTCTGATATTAGTGAAAAGTGGGTTTCGTATTCTAGTGGTTTAGTATTCTATTTTTGACCAAGAGATTTGAGAATCAAACCTTGCCTCCCCCAGCCCTCAACTGTTTGTCCAAGATCTTCCATTGATTCGGCTTTGGTCAATTGGTAGAGCATAGAATCAAATATAATGAACAGAAGAAAGATATCTATGCTGTGCCGCTGTTATAGCCTTTGTTTTTCAGCTTCTTTGTTTTTTTGGGCAGCTCAACATCTAAACAAAGATCCTCAAAAAAAATGGCATTTTATTTGTTGGGGTGGGCCTTCATGCTGTTATTCTTTTGTGGAGAGATGTCCTCTTTAATTTCACTTCTTTAGATGTATTTATTTTTGAAGATTAAAAAAAGTGGTATTTTTAAGTTCTTATCATGTGAGATTCTTCAAGTAACTATTAAAGACATATTTATTAGTGCCTGTAAGCAGACAAGAGATTTGTTGCGCTATGGCACTGTGGAAAGTGTCAGTCGTGACATGCTGCTCAGATAGTTTGCATTTTATGTGATTTGCTGATTTAGCATGAAATTACATCCTTTGTGTTTTAACTTATTTTTGTTTATCATCGAACATTTGTGACACCTAATACCTTTATTCTGTCTCCAAACAGGTGGCTTATATGGCAGTAGTTGGATCTTTTCCATTCAACTCTTTTCTGTCTGGTGTACTTTCTTGTGTTGGTACAGCTGTTCTTGCTGGTATGTCTAAACATCTATCGATATTTTCCATTTTGAGTTCTTTTTAGGCTGCTTTGGAGCTTAAACCTTATAAATCATTTTTTGCTGTAGTATGTCTTCGCATTCAAGTGAACAAGGAAAATAAGGAATTCAAGGTATGGTGTCTTGCCCAATTTCTCTTTTGGAGTACTTTTTTTAAGGAATTGAGTCATCTGTATTGTTAAAAGCCTCTTTTTCTAAATTATATTTTTTGAGGGCAGGTTACAGCAACTTTGAACATCTAATGCATAGTTTGGTAATTTTTTATTAGACAAATCTTACTTATGCCTCTGAGATCCAAATGAAACATCGCTAAACTTAATGTAATAAAAAATTCGCCATGGTGTGCTAAAAAACCTCTGCACGTGTGCGTGTGTGTGTGTGTGTGTTTTTTTTTTTTTTTTGGGAAATTCTCTCTGGTAATCATAAACTTTTTTTTTGCTTCGTGGTAAAGCCTGAAACTTTTTATTATCAATAGTAATCACGAATTAATAAAACTAAGCTAATAGTAACATTAATGATATTAAAACATCATTAAATGATTAACCAGTAACAATAGATTTACATTAATACCCTTCAAATTATTTTTTTAAAAATAAAAACAAATAATCCAAACCCCTCCCCAACCACCAGCCCTCCTTTCCTTGCCGGAGCTCAGTTCGGTGCGGCGGACGACGTCTTCAACCCTCTACCCCGCTGGAGACCCCCACCACCAACACCCCAATCCCAAAACGAGAACCCCTCCCTTGTTCCCGACCCACCCTCACTCTTCTTTCATAACCACCAAATTAAAACCGCTTGTCGGAACGCCGAAATCAGCCATCCTCCCTATAGCCGAAATCAATCACCCTCCTCCTTTCCCCGATTCCCTCGTTTCCTAAATTTGGGTTGAAATTTCTAGGTTCTTTTTGGTGATTTTGGGGTCGAATTTGTTGACTTTAGGGGGTCGAATTTAACGAAAATGCTGATTTTTGGGGTCGAATTTGTTATTTTTGGGTTCGAATTTGTTGGTTTTTGGGGTCAAATTTGTTGGTTTTGTGGTCGAATTTGTTGATTTGGGGTCGAATTTGCTGATTTTTGGGGTTGAATTTGTTGGTTTTGGGTTCAAATTTGTTGGTTTTTGGGGTCAAATTTGTTGGTTTTGTGGTCGAATTTGTTGTTTTGGGGTCGAATTTGTTGATTTTTGGAGTCGACTTTGTCGATTTTGGGGTCAAAATTGTTGATTTTGGGGGTCGAATTGCTACTTTAAGGGTCGAATTTGTTAATTTTTGTAGTCGAATTGGTTAAATATGTTGATTTGGGGTTGAATTAGTGGTCGGAGCTAGGTTTCATAGGTTTGATACGTGTGGAGGTGGTGGCTAGGGTGGTTTTCGAGGAGGAGGAAATGGGTAGAATCGGGTTGGTGTCGATGCGTGAGGTGGTTATGCGCTGGGGTGTTATTGGGGAGGGGGAGGTGGTGGTGCTGCCGCTTTTGGTGCTGCCGTTGCACTCCCTTTCCGACCTTAACAGCAGTTTAACAATGGTGGTGGCGGCTCTAATGGAAGAAGATGGAGGAGGAAAGAGTAAGGAAGAAGATGGAGGAGGAAAGACATAAGGGTATTTATGTCTTTTTACTGTCTAATAGCTAAACCATGGTAAAGATTTTTACAAATTGTTTAAGTTACCATTAGCTTAATAATATTAATATGTGATTGCCATTGATAATCAATAGTTTTAGGCTTTACCATTGAGAAAAAAAAAAGGTTTGTGATTACCAAAGAGAATTTCCCTTTTTTTTTTTTTTTTGTTGGGGGGGGGGGGGGGAGTGACCCAAAGTTGAAGTGTGTTAAGAAATAGGCACAGAGGGATGCTGTCTAAGCTGCCTAGAAACTTCTTTCACCTGGACAAGTCTTCCATGTTTTATGAGTCTTCAGTTTTATTACTTCTGAATTCTGACATAACCACTAGTCAATACAATAACCAGCAACTATCATTATCTTTCTACATGTTAGGTCCCGTTTTTACCACCCTTGAGTCAGTGTAGTTGCGCTCTAGGAGTTGTAGGAATGCATGTTGCTTGTGGAGTCTTCCGACTTTTATGTGTTCCTCATAGACTGTCAGTGAGGAGTGCAAGTATAACCAGCTACTATCACTAGTGCTTCTATATTATAAGATTGCATGGCTTTAGAATAACCACCCAGCAGCAACAGTTGCTAAGACTCTCACTCTCTCATGACATGTTACTCGGACTCTTCATTTTACCTCAAGACCTCAAGTACTCGTGTCGGACCCTCGACACTCAGACATGGGTATGACACTTGGACACTTCATTTTAGTTCAAAATCATTAAAAAAAATCACAAAACAGCGAGTCGGATTCTTGGACACGTACCCGTGTCAGACATGGTTACACAAGTCGAGTAACATACTCATATACATGGAATAACCGCCTAGCAATAAACTATGCATACCTGCACTACTATTTTATTGGATTTATGTCTTGATGATCACTAAGCGGTTACAGCCCCACATTCGATTACTACTCATCACCAATGGATGCCATATTTTGTTCTTTGGATAGTGAAGCTAACGGTCTCCACTTGGCACTCCCTCCTATGTGCTAGAATCGAGGTTATAACCACCCCCTTTAATTTAGGGATTTGCTAGTTGTGTTTTGGCAATGTCACTATCCCATTGATCCACAATCTTCATGGTAACTACCTTTTGTTCATATCTTGCTAGTACACCAAAATTTGCATACTCGTGCTAGACCTTTTAGACCTAACAATTCCATTCTTTAAGGCCTTTGGATTAGCCAAGTCCAAGCTATGCCCAATTGCCCACACTGAACTCTCCGTAGATGTGCTATATACCTTATAAGCATCCTATGCCCAAAGGTCACACCCATAGCTTAGCCTGTGGCCCCTATTGCCTCCCTGAACATGGTCAGCAGCTATCCCCTATTGCCTCCCTGAAGATGGTCAGCATCTATCCCCTAATGAGGTTTATTTTGGTATAGCTAAACTCCACAGTGAAAATCCATTGACAATTACATGATGATGAGACATATAGCCCAACTTTAGTCTTTTATTATTGTGGAGTTTATATCACAAATGTGTAATTAATGTTAATAAATATAGGTTTTTTTTTTCTTCAAATTATTATATCTATGTTTGTATGTTGTGATTTAATTAGATTTGTTTTTCTCAACTTGTTGAGTTTATTGGGTCTTGGCTTGTGGGTTCAATTTCTTTGTGAGATTGGAGGGCCTTTCTTCATTGTATCCAATAATTCACCTATTTTACTTGGAGTTATAATTGGGAAGAGGCCAATTCTGAAGCTTCAGATTCATAGTGCTCTTTCTTCTACTATTTGTCTCTTGAAGTGTCTGTTGAGGTTATCTGCCTGTTTTACTCTTCCTATATATATTTTTTAAAAAGTTGGTCTTCACTTGTTAAAATTTATATTCCCTGGGTAAATGATTAAAACAATGGTTGAGATCAAACCTCTTATTAATATCAGGCATCAAATTTTTTAAAATGTAAGATTAACTTTCAAGATATGAAGAATAGCTTATGATTTGGAAAGTAGCAAATTAGGAAGAATGTGGCCAATTAGTGTGGGATGACAGGAGTAAAATATCTAATTTCATAGATGGCTTTTGTTTACCATCCAATCCATTTTATCATTTACTTTTCAGAAGGTAGAAAATTTGAGTAAGTAAAAATAAAGATATAGTTTGGAAATTCTGATTATTTTGGTTCATGTATTAAGTTACTGGTTGACTACTTGACTTGCCCCGTTTGTCCTCAGACCTCAGACAAAGCAAAGTAGAAATGGAGTACCTGGTTTTCTTGAATAATACCCCAATAGCCTAGTTCTATATGTTATCTTGCCTTGTAGTATAGCTACATAATTCTTGACTTAACTAACACTTGGGTTTGTAGCCTGCTCTATTTGATTCATGTCTTTGTTAACCAAAATATCAAATCACCCTGAATCAATAGTGCTACTTATTTCTAGTTCTAGGAATTACTCGAAAAAAAAAAAAACAAAATAATGTGGAGTTCATATTTGATTTCTGAACTTTGCCGGCTATCTAATGATATCAATTTCATTGCAGGATTTAACCCCAGAGCGAGCGTTTGCAGACTTTGTTCTTTGCAATCTAGTTCTCCATTTGGTTATCATGAACTTCCTGGGATAAGGTGGGACAACCTGGATTAGTCGAATTGTTTTACCTTATTGTGCGTTATGAGTATAAAACATAGGATTAGTTATAGGTGGTTTTCCTGTTTACTTTTCAGAAGCCTAAGCAGTTTGATATATGGATGGCAGGATGAATATGACGTAAGACTCAATTTTGCAGTATTATGGTTAGAACCTAAAATCCTTCTATTATTAAGGATGTAGTTATTTGTCCTCACTGATGGTTATTTTTTTTGAAATTTTACGAGTACTCCACCCCCTTCACCCCTTCATATATTTAAAAAAAAATTTATTTATGTTGCCCTAAGCTAATTTGCAAGCAGCAGTACTTATTACTTCTTGCTGATCATATGGTAAAATACTACCTCCGTTGCATGTTTTGTGCAACATTTTCCAAAAACGGATGCTACACATTATGTGCAACAAAAAACTTCTTTCCTTTTTAGGTAAATTTTTTTAAATGAAATTACCATAATGCCCCTAATTTAAAATTACTAACATTACTTAATTTGCTAACCCAAATTTAATTAATCAAATAATCACCCCCTTCTCTCTCCTGCCCCCTTTCTTCTCTTATACCTGCAACCACCACCATCATCAATGACCACCGCAAACACCACCAACCCAAGATCAATTCTACCACCAACACCACCAAAACCATACCACCAACATCACCTGTTCACCACCGACACCATGACCACCACAAACCATCGACCACTGCGACCTTAATATTTAACACCACGACCACCAACGGCCGTCGTTTCGACCTCTAACCCCTCCTTGTAGAAGTCGCTGCCCCTCCTCGTGAGAGTCCCCGCCCCCCTTGTCGAATTTGAAATTAAAACCCTAGAAATTGAAAAGCGAAAGGGGGTCGGAGAATAAGATTAAGTTTGAAACTCAAATCTAATGCAAAATTGGCAAATATGGGAGGTGAATTAAGGGGGATTATGACCGGTTTTATAAGTGGTTTATGGTGCCTTCGGGTTGGGTGGTGGTTTTTGGTGTTTATGGCTGGGTTTTCGGTAGGTCTAAGGCGGGGTTTTGTATCTCGGTGGTAGTGTGGTGCATTGGTATGGTGGTTTCGACGGCTGGTATGGTACTTTCGGTGGTTGATAAGGTGGTTTCGGTGGTTCGTTCGGTGGTTGTGTCGGTTGTTGTTGGTGGCGAACATGGGTGGTGGTGGTGGTGCAGTGGGTGATAATGATGGTTGGGTTGAGATTCTTAATTTACTAATTCTGTCATAATTACAAGCCCATATTTTTGCTAATCAACTTTTTCATTTTTTTGTCTTGGGAAGTGTGCAAGCCTCTTTGTTGCACTTAACGTGTAACGGAGGTAGTAATTGAAAATAAATGTAGTGATTTTGATAAAAGGATACAAGAGTTCCGTTAAATATCAATTGTAGTATAAGAAGTAAAGAAACTACGAAGATTGTACTTGTTATGGACAACTTTCATCAAAAGTTCTTCATCAGTAATGATCTAGCTTCAACTTGCAGTTTCTAATGTTAACATTGTGCTCCGAAACTCTCTTTTGTTTGTCTAATTGTGTGTTTAATAGCGTTATTTTGTAGTTTGTACCATAAAATTCGCTTGCATGATTAAATTTGAGTTGCATTTTGTGCATCTTTTGCGGTTAAAAGTTTCTGTGTTTTGGGGTTGGATCATCATTTTATTTCATTTTTATACTAGGGCTAATTATTTTACTCTGCTAGTCGGCTGAAAATATTTGCTTTGTTCCGCACAAATTGACATAGATAAGCACCCTTAAATTATAATTAAACAAAAACGCAATCAATATCTTTTAATCCTCTCTAAAAGTGTTGATTTAGGAGCCATAATATAGAATAATGTTACTTAAATATACTTACTAATACAAGTACTTTGTACTATTATGCAACTCAAGTTGGTCTTATAATTTTATATTCTGAGATTTGTAAGAAAAATAATTTTGTGCTCAACATAATTAGGGTTGCACCCCATAATTGTTTTGTTTAAACAAGGGAACAAGGCTTATTGATCCAAAAAATTTGTTAACTACTCGAGTGGATTGTGAATCTTTCTTTTGATAATGAGCATCTATTAATCAATTAGTTACCTCTATAAAAACCGTGATAGATAAAAAAGAAAAAAAAACCACTATGTATTCATCGCAAAATATATACAATCTCATGCTTTAAAAAAAATCAATTCAGTTTTATACATCGAAAAATTAGTAGCTATTAGTATGAACATAAGGTACATTTCTTCCTCGTGAGACTCCATATTCCGACTTAGGAAATGACATCTTATTCTTTATTATGCCTCTGTATAATGCCAACCTGTTAAGAGGCATTGTACCTTCTCCATTGTAGCTCCTTGCACAACATGGTTTTGCCGGGTTAGTTTCACATGATTCCTTTTCACATTCAATGGGTAATGGCTCTTGTACATTATCCGCGAATCGAATTCTTCTCTTGCATTGACACTTTCCACATCCTGATCAAAGATTAGAAACAAGTTGTTATATCAATTACATTATACAATAACACTTGGCAAAATATTATAAAAAGTTTTCCCTCCAAAACCACTTACTAAAAAAAATTATTGTAATTAAATTATGACTTTTAGTTTGTATAATAAAATCTAAAATAAATGTCCTTAAATATCAAATTGCCAATTATAACTATTACATGTTTAATTAATTTCTTTCACTATATATATATATATATATGAGAATTTTTTCCTAAGTTTTTAAAGAGCCACATAGGATCTAATTTTCTTAGCGCGCCATGTAAGATTATAAATCTTAGTAGTAGCCAATTAAATAGGAGATTATTAATTTCTTTTAGTATTAAATAATTCAAATGTCATGTAAGCAAAATTGGCGAATGAGATTTTTAAGTTTAAATTAATTAAATATTATATATTATCTTTTAATATTAGGAATTTTATCTGAATATATAACAAATTTAAGGCTCATAAATAGAAAAAAAAAATCAAACAAACCGTGCATCGCACGGGCTTATCTAGTATTTCATACTTTTTACTACTAAGTCTATTTATAATAATTATATTTGTATCCATTATTTTTGGTAAATTTATTGTCACTAGAATTATTTAAGGGTTTAATCTAGTTACTTATATACACCTATGCTGCTATGCATTGACACTTTCCATATCTATGTCCTTAGCATTTTGTCTAGGAGAAATCGAGGACTTGAGAGATTTCAATAATCAAAATTTACGAGTAGTGCAACAATGTAACAAAAATGTCTAATAAGCCTTGATCCCAAAATGACAGGAATGACCATGAACAAAAATGTTACATACAAAAGGATTAAGATTCACAAACATTATATTCTATGATATAAATTTACCAAATTCTAATTCAATTTTCTTCATAAAATCCGAAAGGAGGCGATTGTGGACTTGGAGTGCAAGGAGTGCTACACTTCCTGAGACGGCGAAAACAGCCATAATTCCCATGCCCATTGAGCCATCCATTTTCCTTAACTTCCTCTCCCCTTCTCAAAGAGATTTATATAACCAAAACTCAATACATGGCCTTAAAATTTGAACATGAAGATGAGAAAGATATTGAGGAAAGAGAATATGAGAGTGGCATGATTTTGTGTATAGTTACAAATCAATGTAATTTGTGTTTCGGTTGAAAACAATGGGACCTTGCTGAAGGTCCGCTGAAGTGGAGAAGACTGGATTCGGTCCAAGTTGTGTTGGGCCGAAGGTTTCCTGCACAGTGAACACACGTAAACTAGCCTCGGGGGTGTTTCCGAGGAAGGCCCCTCCGATGCTAAAGTCAGTACAATGTGTAAAAGGAAGACACTATGCAAGAGAGTTTGTAGCTTGAGGCTTTTGTGGAATATTTCTGAATGCAAGAATGAGCATATGAATTGGAATCTCAATGTATGTATGTGATGTCCTTTTGAATGTGTTAATATGATGGCTTTTATACCTCATCATACTTGGAGAGGTTGGGCTTTAGCCCAATTGGCTTACTTTGTGGGCTGACTTTTGACTTTTGAGCAATTGGAGAGTTGAACCTTGACCTTGGGCTTTTAATTGGATCATTTAGTGCTCAGGCCCAATTTTGACTAAATTGGACCCAAACAACTTGCCCCCCAGACCCGATTTGGAAGAATGACGGGTCGGGTTTGATTTAACTCAGAAAAGGAGGGAAGTAAATGATTTAATTGATCCAAAAATTTGAATTTAAAGCGTAATTAATGAGATAACAACGGTTAATGATTTGCGGAAGTTGGACGGATAATGGGCAGTTTAATCATAAGACATGTGTTTAATGGTTACTTAGTGGGTATTTAAGAGAAATTAAAGCGCAGACTCTTCGTATCCCGTACCTGGAGATATAAACGGAGGCGCGTCATTCTCCTCACTTATTCACCAACACAAACCCAGAATTCTTCGAGAGAGAAACCAAGAACCCGCATCAAAACTTCGCAAATTCCCCGAGCATTGAGCTTAGAAACTGAGTCTTGCCACTACGAACTCGTAAATCGGCAACTTTCGCTTCAGATTAAGGTAAATTCCTTTGATTTCAGTTTATTTTTCTTCGAATTCGAACTCCTTCCCCTTTTCTTTCGACTTTTTTCTTCGAAATAATCCATGGCAAGAGGAGTTAGAGGTAGAGCCCGTGCTCCAAGAAGAGCAAGGCCGATTCCCGATCCTAGGAACAGGATTGGGACCTGGAATGGCCAAAGGCCGGAGTCTGACCCTGCTGAAGGGATTAGGGCGACTCCCCTTTCCTCGGCTCCTCCTCAAAGAACGGATGAGCCGAGTGCTTCTGGACGGGATGATGAAATTCCCGCCGTCCTTTGGGATATCCTCCCTGGGTTTTCAGAGTGGGAGAATGCCGAAGTCGCTTCGGCCATGATAAAGAACCGCCCCTACTCATGGTGGGTAGAGAACGCCGATCAATATCGATTTGCTGAGCAAATTGAGTTGCACTACGGCATTTTTGAAGCTGATGGATATTGGTGCCGAATGCCCTCAGCATCCGATAGAATCCATCGTCCACCCCCGGGGTATGTGGGGGTGTACACGAGACAGCTTCAGTATGGGCTGAGGTTCCCTTTGGACGTTTTCGTCCGAGACTTGCTGATCCATTACAACATTTCCCTATGTCAGCTAACCCCCACCAGCATCCGAAGGGTGATGACATACTTATGGGTCTGCAAGTTCTTCAAATACGTGCCGAACCTGCACTGCTTCAGAAAGCTCCATCGGCTAGTGCCAAATATTCAAAGTGGGCACGGAAGCCATGGTTCTGGGTGGTATCGGATTGAGTCCCGGCCC